AAGAAAACAGGAGCAACATAGACAGTAAGATGCAAATTGGATCACTTCTCTCCACCAACACCTTCTCATTGCTCTTAGGTCTCTCATGCTCTTAGGTTAAAAATAAAAATCCAGAAAATAGCCTACAAGGAAGGCCCTGAACCACTGGCCTTCTACCCCCTCTAAAGACTCAGCTCCTGCCACATCTCCCCTTTCTCGGGGACCTGTAGTTTCATGTTAAATTTTTTTTTAATTTTAAATTTATTTATTTAATTGAAGGATTAATGCTTTATAGAATTATGTTGGTTTTTGTTTTTTACCACAGAGTTATTTTTTTAAATGTCCTATTCCTTCTTTGAAGAGCAATCTTCCCTCGTGATCTTGGCCTAGTCAGGCCCTCTTTGCCTCTCAGAGCCCAACTGTCCCATGGCAAAGTTTTGTAGACCCCCAGATGAGATCATTTGCCTTCTTAGGTTCTCTCCCAGCACCCTGAACTTTCTTATGATGCAATGTACCTAGTGAATGTGTTTATTTTATGCTGCCCAAATAAACCACTAGTCTCATTTCAACTATTTTCACCTAGAATAACAAATTCTCACCTGATTGCATGCACTAAACCACATTACTCCAACAGCTAACTATATATTTTCATATTTTTTAATATTGTAAAAGTCAATATTTTATTTCTTTGTCAAGCATCTACTAACCTCCCTCTGCTTCTGTGTGATGTGCAATGTGCACAGAAAGGCATGGAGAAAAGCCACGTGATCCTAGACGGGAACCAGGAGAACGAAAGCGTAGGAGAGGCACTTCATGAATGATCAAGAGCTAAGAATATATTTTATTATTAAACATATTGACATTTGATATAAAAATGTTTTTTATTTTGGCTACCTAAAATCCTGGTCTACTTAAAGCACTGAATTTAACAAGCAATAATTCAGATAAATTTGTATAATGCACGTTCTAAGGCAATAAGCCTTGAAGATGTAATTGCCCATTTTTCTCACTAACCCTTAATCCTTCCCCCATATCAGCTCATCCTGAACTCAGCTTGGAGCTCAAAGACCATCTAGCAGCCCAGTTCTGGCCTTCATGCTGGCTGGAGTCTGGAGATTTCCCCAGCTGCTGTGTCCAGCGGCTGCTGGAGTAAGCTTCACTCAGGTTTAGGGGCTCTATTTCCAGTCAGTGTGAGCTAATTAAAAGGAAGGATTTTGTTTGCCTCTCTGGCAATCCCTGAGCAGCACGAAAGGTCCACACCACCTTCTTCATTCTAATTTTAGCTCTCCTCAAACGTTTCTTCTCCTTTGCAGAAAAGCATCCTATGCTGCTATGTACTTAAAAGCTTTTTGTTTTTGTTATTTCTCCCATTTGGGAAGGAACACTTTTCCACTTTACTCTTTTTAGATTTGCTCCCTCCCATCAGTTTTATCTAGTAAGAGGTGATAGTTTGAAACTACTAACAGAGCTGGAGATAGTTAGCTACCCAGGGTAGGTACCGTCTTTAGCAGGGACTCAAAGGTGCCAGCTCACAGAACATTTTCATATATGCAGAGCTTTCTGGAAATAGCTTCTCATAAAGAGAAAGTATGTTTTATTTACTGGTGAGTGTCAGTTTCTTTTCCCCCAATAATATACAACACACCTGTCCCTGACAATTTCACTGAGGAACTCGGCACTCATAGGTCATTCACTGTGGGCTAAGACACTGTCGATGTTTTTTGACCAATACTCTTTACTTTCAATAAACATGAAATTATCTCATAGGTTTCTCCCTCTGTGTCCTACCGTACCGAAAAATCAGTCTTAACTATGTACTCAGCTTACCTACTTGGATATCCAATAGCGTTTCTTATCCACAGCTAAGCTTTCGTCATAAGAATACCAACTTCATCCTTCCAAAGGTCAAGAGAGCCAAACATCCTTGAGTCACACCTTTGGTTCCTTTCATTTTCTCCAACACTCTCCAGAAGATTTCCTCCTACCTTGTTCCTCCTCAGACTCCTTAGCTGTTGTTGCCTTTTATCATCTCTTTCATCAAGCTCAGGTCTTGATCTTCTATATACATTCACTCCATATCATGTATACAACGATGATGTCCACATTCTTTGTCTTCAAAGACAAAGAATGTGAACATTCAGCTGCCCACACAACACATCTATTCAGATATCTAATAGGTAGATATTACTTAAAATGAACTCCTGGTAGAAAAGGGAACCTCCTACACTGTTGGTGGGAATGCAAGCTTATCTGGACACTATGGGCAACAGTATGGAGGTTTCTCAGAAAGCTAAAAATAGAGCTATCATATGATCTAGCAATCCCACTCCTGGGCATATATCCAGAGAAAACTCTAATTTTAAAATATACATGCAACCCTATGTTCATAGAACACTATTCACAATAGTCAAAACATGTAAACAACCTAAATGTCCATCAACAGATGAACAGATGAAGATGTGGTGCATATATACAACAGAATACTATTTAGCCATAAAAATAATGAAATAATGACATTTGCAGCAACAAGGGTGCAACTGGAGATTATATACTAAGTGAAGTAAATAAGAAAGAGAAAGAAAATTATCATATGATAAAATTTATATGTGGAATCTAAAATATGACACAAATGAACCTATCTACTGAAACAGAGACAGAGTCATGGATTTAGAGAACAGTCTTGTGTTTGCCAAGGGGGAAGGATTTGGGGAAGGGATGGAGTAAGAGGTTAAGGTTAGTAGACATACACTCTCATAAATAGAATAGATAAACAACAAGGTCCTACAGTATACCTAGAGAACTATATTCAATATCCTATGATAAATCATAATAGAAGAAATATATTTTTTAAATGTGCATACATGCATAACTGAATCACTTTGCTACATAGCAGAAATTAACACAACACTGTAAATCAACTACACTTCAAATTAAAAAAAGTGAACTCTTGATATTTTTCCCTGTTCACCAAATCTGTTCTTCTCAGGACTTCTCTCATGTCAGATGACATTAAGAATCATGCTTACAATTGTCTAGGACAAAAATATTGCACTTTTCCTTAATTCTTCTCTTTTTTTTTTCATATACTACATCTACTCTATCAAAAAATCCTACAGGCTTTACCTTAAAAAATATGTCCAACATCCATCAATTTCTCTCCAGCTCCACTGCTTCGCCGTTGACCTGAGCTGACTTCTCTCATCTTACTGGAATGCTACAATAGCCCCCTACTGGCCTTGCTTCCACACTTATCCTCCTTCTCCAGTCCATTCTCAACACAAGAGTTGATGCAATTCTTATAAAATAGAAGTTACATGATGTTACTCTCCTGAAAGACCTGAACTGACTCCCAATTTCATTCTGAGTGAAATCCATAGTTTTTAAAATGACATATATTAGGTCCTACATGACCCATCCCTCTCTTCCTTCTTACCTAAAAAATTCCATATTTCAAAGAATGGCAGTCAGATTTGACTAATCTGCTTAAGCAAGAAATTTTAGGGCTTTTCTTGAACTTTTCTTCCTCGCCATCACACCTCTGATCAGTTGCCATGACCTGTTGATTACTCTTTCCTTGTGTTTCTCAAATCCATTTATATTTTCCACTGCTGATGGCACTGTTGCTTCCTGCCTCTAATCTCACCTCATCTTGAATCTATTTGCTACATATTAACATTTTGGTGATCTTTCTACACATTAATACTATGGTGAGATTGTTGGATGGCATCACCGACTCGATTGACATGAGTTTGAGCAAGCTCCTGGTGTTGATGGACATGGAAGCCTGGCGTGCTGCAGTCCATGGGGTCACAAAGAGTAAGACATGACTGAGTGACTGAACTGAACTGATCTTTCTAGTTAAATGCTAACCCATTCATATCATCCAAGTCTGTCTACCTCCAAAGGTAGACCCTCTTTACCACCTTTTCCTAATGATTCTTAAGTTGATACTTAGATTACATAATATACTGCCTAACAAGTAGGAAGTTTTAACTATAGTTCAGGCTACTTTTGAAATGGCTCTCTTTTATATAATAATAAATTCATTGGTCCACTTATTTAAAGTGTTTTGCAGCAGGCAATTTGTTTGTGAGGTTGTTATGTATTAGTATTTGTTCTATTAACACTTGACATTTCTATAATGATTAATTTTTTTGTGAATGCAATCATTTATAAAATAAACAGTAGATTTATCCATTAATTTAGATTATGCTTTTAAGTCAAGAAAAGGTCAGCCATCTCAGCATGAGTACAGATGTATAGTTGGCTCTTCTTTTCTTAAAATTACTATAGATTTCATATAATAATAGTATTTAAGAATAAAAAATAATATTAAACAATAATGATAGTACTAAATAAAAATATTGTTTCATAGTTTCCAAAATGCTTCACATAAATCAGCTCATTTATTAAAACTATCCAAAGAGTAGATATTATCTTCCCTTTCCAGAGGAGCAAATCAAAGATCAGAGAAGTTAAGTAACTTGATGGAAAGTATCCAGCAAATCAGTGACAGAACTGACTCAGAAAGTTGTTCTACTGCATTATATACCATGTGCTAATGCTTTATATGCAGGTTCTTAAATATAACATATAACAAAACCACCTATGTGTAAGATAACAAAATGCTATTTTTCAAAGTAGATAAAGGCCTATCTTTAACATTTTACTTTGTGAAATTCAAAATTTTACCTTTCAATATAAAACAAATCAGCACTGTCCTTCCACATTAGTACTAAATATCAGTCTATTCTAAGATTTTTGATGTGACATGTAGGTGACATAAAACATTTGGAAACCATAACAACATGCTATTCAAAACCATTTCTAGTTTTAAAAGGTTAGATTTTGGTTCTGTTTAAAGGTCAGACCTGAAAATGCGCTGATGATTACTTTATTCCACACATTTTAGATGGTGCCTTTAAAGTCTTGGCATAAAGTCATGAACAAAAAACACAATGAGATTTCTATGAAGATTCCTCTTAATTCCTCTAACTCATAAAGGCTTTGGTTTTAAAAACTCAAAAATATAGCTGCACAAAATGAACGGCTTTACCTGTGTCGCCAGTTTCCGTGTTCTTGACTTCTGTGGTGGCTGCAGAAGAGGTGAGTGGACTAACTGGAGGGTTGGAAGTAAAGCTTGTACACCCTGTAGATGTGTTGATTTCAAAATATTCTTGGTTGTGATTCATTCGATGAAAATCCAAAGAAGACACAATAGATGTTCGTTGTTTAGGCTAAAATAAATGAGCATGATAAAAGTATTAATATGATCATGCTCATCTTCAGTCCAATTTCCCCATCAGTTTAATCTGATTTTTTTAAGTTACACTGTCTGTTTTTGACACATAAAATATAGTTGTGTTTTACAGAGAGACATTAAATAATCCCTTAATTCAATAATAAAAAATATTTAATGAAAAAATGTCATGGCATGGTTGATAAAATAATTTAGACTTTTTTGTTAGATTTCTCCAGAAGACTGCAAAAATACAGTGCTCAGAATTCCTCTTAATGATCAATTCAGAAAGTTGCAATTTTGAGTCACCTTTCATTCAGCTAACATTTATAAAAGATTCTGCATTTGGCAGACCCAGAGAACATAGAGTCTAATAAAGAAATAAAAGGGTCCTTACAATACAGAAGCACAATTAAGGCAGTTCCATTTTTAAATTTTATATATAGTCCAAGGAACTGGGAATATTAGATATTGTCCCCAAGTATCATACGCTGAACTTTCATCATTAAAATGAAGTAAATTTGTATAGAACATTTTTTAGGATCTAAGAATCCACTTGTATTTGTAGTGAGCTTTGATTTCTTTTTTAAGGATTTAAATTAATCCCCAAATAGCAAAAAGAAAAAGTCAATTTAAACATAAATGGTAAAATCATGGAGTAACAGCAGATATAATCTATACCTTTTGTCAGTAATGGATTGTTCCCTATAGCAGTTTTCTGGTCATGGCATGGTTGATAAAATAATTTAGACTTTTTTGTTAGATTTCTCCAGAAGACTGCAAAAATACAGTGCTCAGAATTCCTCTTAATGATCAATTCAGAAAGTTGCAATTTTGAGTCACCTTTCATTCAGCTAACATTTATAAAAGATTCTGCATTTGGCAGACCCAGAGAACATAGAGTCTAATAAAGAAATAAAAGGGTCCTTACAATACAGAAGCATAATTAAGGCAGTTCCATTTTTCAATTTTATATATAGTCCAAGGAACTGGGAATATTAGATATTGTCCCCAAGTATCATAGGCTGAACTTTCATCATTAAAATGAAGTAAATTTGTATAGAACATTTTTTAGGATCTAAGAATCCACTTGTATTTGTAGTGAGCTTTGATTTCTTTTTTAAGGATTTAAATTAATCCCCAAATAGCAAAAAGAAAAAGTCAATTTAAACATAAATGGTAAAATCATGGAGTAACAGCAGATATAATCTATACCTTTTGTCAGTAATGGATTGTTCCCTATAGCAGTTTTCTGGTTTTTTTTCCCACAATTTTAATTATATTCACCTTTTTTTCCTTGCCTAGCAGAGGTTCTAACACTACCCTTCAGAAAAACTGCAGTCTTCTTGGCTCTCAGGATTGTGCACATTTCCTAATTTAAGTTTTCTTATATTTTATTCTTATTATCAATGTTCATGAAATATTAACAATCTCACAAAAATAAGAGATTAAATACAATCTCTTTACAATAAAGTTTATTGTACTTAACTTTCTGCAAAGTACAAAAAGTGCAATAAACTTTTGGCTTAGTAACACTTTCACTGCCCTCAAGTACTTGCTAATTTTATCACTGAATCCACAATTATTTTCCTGCAAAATATTCATGCTACCATTTATCTTCCAGCTCATCATGGTTTTTGAAAAGCAGACATGACTTAGTCTACAGTCTAAATAGCTGATGACATTGAAAATGTGTTTTACAGAGGTTTTTTTTTTTTCTTAAGGTGTTCAAATTATCATAACATGCTTTGCACTTTCACCCTTGCAATATTTTTACAGGAATGGCTAAGAGGCATAAATATTGTTATATGAGTATAAGTCATTTATTATTATGACACATGAACTCAGTAATGCAATTCAAATTAATACCCACATAGGACTCAGTTGCTTTTGAAGTATGAAAGACTGGTGTTCAATGTCAGGCTTGATTTCTCATGAAATGTCTGTCCTTGGGGCTACTAAATCTCAATTCACTTTCAATGTTCTTCCTACTAGACTAAATAACTGCAATTAAAAACATGGATATGACCCTGGCTCCAATAGAAACACAGGTATGTCATTATCATGGTTTTGTCTCATTGTGTTGTATTTTATTTTTGTTTCACTTTGTATAAAGTCAGCAAACCAAATTTATATGATGTACCCTCTCATAAACATTACAAGAATAAAGCCAACTGATATGTATGACTCCTTTACTTATAAATGTTTCTGAAATACATGTTTCTGAACCTTGACCACCCAATGTTTTAAATCCACCAGAAGTACAATTTGTTATACAATCAAGCAAGAAAATAAACTATTTTTCTGCATTAATCTATTCTACAAGTATTTGCTAAGTGTATACTAAATTGTGGATACCTTGGTAAGCAGTATCATACAAATAAGATGAGGAAGCCATTGTCCCTTTTCTCTGGGTGATTACAGACTTGAAATGGGAAGAGGGATGGTGCATGAGGGAAGAAACGAGCAATCCAAGGATTATGTACAGCATAGTACAGCGATAAGCATCATGAGAAGTGCACACCAGATGTAAAAGGGGAGCCTCTACTTTACAGACACAGTTAGGAAAGGCCTCTACAAGCAGGTAACTGATGGCTGAGTTGAATCTTGTTGAAGTAGTGAGTGAAAGTGAAAGTTGCTCAGTCGTATCTGACTCTTTGCAACCCCATGGACTATACAGTCCATGGAATTCTCCAGGCCAGAATACTGGAGTGGGTAGCCTTTCCCTTCTCCAGGGGATCTTCCTAACCCAGGGATCAAACCCAGGTCTCCCAAAGTGCAGGCAGATTCTTTACCAGTTGAGGCACCAGGGAAAGCAGAGGTGGTAGGAAAACAAAAGAGGATGGGAAGAGGGAAAGTGCAAAGTGCAGAAGGTTCGGTACGTCTGCAGAGCAGAGTATGTGATGGTAGCGGTGGGTTCAAGCTGTGAGATGTTGGATGTTTCAGGGGACAAATCATGAAGGGCTCTAATGCCATATTAAGGAGTTTGGTTTTTCATGGGACTATTTTAAGAAACCACTGGATGATTTCTAAGCAAGAGAGTTTCATAGTTGGGTTTATATTTCAATAAAATCATTTTAGCAGTTTAAAGAAGGAACAGGTAAGGGCAGAGAGACTACAAAAGGAAGAGAAACTACAAGGATATTATTGAATTGAGCCAAGACATACTAGGGTCCTGAGGTAAAGCAGCTGCTGTAGTGTTGGAGATCACAGATGTTTTCAGAGATACTAAGAAGGTTAGTTCTTTAGATCTTGGCATCTGATTGGATGTGAAAGTTGATTTTCAGGGAGGAGTCTAGGGTGACTCATAGATTTCTTGATTGGGTAGATGCCAAAAGATAAGGTTTTTGTGGGCAATATAAACGCATACACTCTTATACCAGAATTACACAAGATGTACTCAGTGGTGGCCATAGGACTGGAAAAGGTCAGTTTTCATCCCAATCCCAAAGAAAGGCAATGCCAAGGAATGTTCAAACTACTGCACAATTGCACTCATCTCACACGTTAGCAAGTTATGCTCAAAATTTTCCAAGCCAGGCTTCAACAGTACTTGAACCATGAACTTCCAGATGTTCAAGCTGGATTTAGAAAAGGCAGAGGAACCAGGGATCAAATTGCCAACATCTGCTGGATCATCAAAAAAGCAAGAGAGTTCCAGAAAAACTACTTTTGTTTTATTGACTATGCCAAAGCCTTTGACTGTGTGGATCACAACAAACTGTGGGAAATTATTAAAGAAATGGGAATACCAGACCACCTGATCTGCCTCCTGAGAAATCTGTATGCAGGTCAAGAAGCAACAGTTAGAACTGGACATGGAACAACAGACTGGTTCCAAATAGGGAAAGGAGTACGTCAAGGCTGTATATTGTCACCCTGCTTATTTAACTTATCTGCATGCAGAGTACATCATGAGAAACATGAGCCTGGATGANCTTTTGAACTGTGGTGTTGGAGAAGACTCTTGAGAGTCCCTTGGACTGCAAGGAGATCCAACCAGTCCATCCTAAAGGAAATCAGTCCTGAATATTCATTGGAAGGACTGATGCTGAAGATTAAACTCCATACTTTGGCCACCTGATGCAAAGAACCGACTCATTGGGAAAGACCCTGAGGCTGGGAAAGATTGATGGCAGGAGGAGAAGGGGACGACAGAGGACGAGATGGTTGGATGGCAAGACCAACACATTGGACATAAGTTTGAGTTGGCTCCTGGAGTTGGTGATGGACAGGGAAGCCTGGCATGCTGCAGTCCATGAGGCTGCAGAGAGTCGGACACTATTGAGCGACTGAACTGAGCTGCACTGCTGCCTGTATGCTTTCGGGACTCAGTATAGACTTCTTAGTCTACATGATTATGCAAATCTACATGATATTTCCCTTTCTTTCTTTCTTTGAGCAGAGTACTGTGATTTCACTGTAGCATAGCTTCAGTCTTCAAATAACATATCAAGAGGAAAGGAGAGAGGTTAATGGAAATTCCAAAGGGAAAAAATCATCAGTGATGAGTGATCATCTGATCTCATTCTTATTTGGCTATTCAGAATTATCTATAGTTATCATGAGTCAGCTTAAGGAACATTGAGGTAGTGAGGAGCCATTGCCCAAAGTTCCCTGAGCATCTGAGGTGATGGAAAATGAGAATTATTATATGTTAGTCATGCTCTAAGAAAGGGATCAGCAAACTATGGCCTGTGGCCCAAACCTGGCCTGTCTCCTGATAATGAAAATAAAGTTTTATTGGAATACAACTATGTTCATTCATTCACTTAAGTCTACAAGTTCTCTCAACACTGCAATGATGGATTTGAGTAGTAACAGAGGCCATATTATCCACAACACCGCAAATATTTACTGTTTCTTCAGAGACACTGTTAGCTAATCCCTGTTTTAAGGGATCATTTTACATATCATTTTCATGCTCAACAAAACCATAAGCATAGATTCTTTTTTACTCCTCAGCCTTATGTGCATTTAGGTTGAGGCCACGTGACT